CTTCCTTATCAAAACATACTATCAAAGAAGGCTGGTACTTGAACCATGCTCTTCTCTTATTCTCCAGCTGGGTCACACATACGTGCTTGGCAAAGGCATCATTAGTCCATTTAAACCTTTCTCCCTCATACTCCTCCGTGCCCAGGGAGGAGTGGGAATCTCATTCCCTCACCTTCTTCCCATCACTCGACTGGGAACTTTGGGTGCCCTGAACCAGAACTAAACTTCAGGTTGACTGACCTATTTTACTGAAAAATTAAGGGGTTTACTGGGTAAGCTTGAAGATTCTTCCTTTCCTTTGGTGACTAAAGACTTAAAACTCACTAGTTTTTTTCCCCCCACTTCTTTTAGACTTAGACTCTTCTGTTACAGTGAAGCATCTTTCTGACTGGTTCTGTTGTATGGACTTGATTCAAATAGGAGGAAGACTTATTTATATTTTGACTTCTAAAAAAGATAGTCAATGTCATTTAATGTAAAGTAATTTTCCCAGCTGGAAAAAAGGCAACAAATTTCATGTGCTTCTCCCTCTAAAACTACTTATTCTCAGATATATTATTTGCTTTTTTCCTCGAAAGAAAAAGAGAGGGGATAAATATAATGTATTTGTTTGCAGAAGTAAAGAATAAAGCTATATGGAAAACTGGTTCCAAGTTACCAGTCATCACTGCTCACTGCCTTGTGCTGGTTTTGGGGTTTTTTGTTTGTTTGTTGGGCTTGGGGCAGGATTTTTTGTTTTGTTTAAGAAAATTTTAAAGTATTTACAAAATACCAAAAGATAATTTGTACCAGCCTATGGCAAACAAGAAAATATTAAATATTTCAGCCTATTTTAAAATATTTCAGTCTGGTAGACAGTTGGAGCTTTACATTTTAAAAGTGGTCACAATAACAAACAGAGTATAAAAAATATAAAGCACAAAAAAACTAATTCCAGATATATTTTACCATGATTAAGACCTAGGTTAGATTAATCACAAGAATTAGTGAAAATGGCAATTTCCAACAAATTCTAAGAATTAGGGTTCACAAAAATTACTCTTGCCAAAGATGTAATTATTAGTTCAAAGCTTTGAAAGTACTAAACATTGACGGAAAATTTAAAGACAAATTTGGCTACTATCAGTTGTGACAGAATTAAGCCTGTTGGAATTACAGAAATAACCTTACCTTTGATTTTGAGAAAAACTCAGTAAAGGATTCTTTCCACGAAAGAGGACTTTCTGCATTACTCAAGAACTCTACAGTAAAACCCATCTGCTATCACGCATAAAATGTAGCAGGCTATCTAGTCTCTCCCAAACGATCTTTTCTTTTTCTCATGATTTACATTCAGATCATCTTCTTACAGAAAGCACAGACACTTTTGACAGTAACTCCTATGACTTTTACTAGGCACTTAATGATTTTCTTCTGACACCATTTCTTTTCATTGTTTCAACTTTATCTAATCAGCACTGTGAAGTGGTAAATTTATAGTCTCTAGCATAAGTTAATTACACTAAATCATAGAGTCATTTAAAATATGCATTTCATCCTCAGGCATATTTTTCTTCCAAATTACAACTTCAATAAAAAATTAAGTTCTAATATAGACACTTACTTGGTTTGTAGAATTCCAAACATAAATAAAGAGAGATGGAAATGTACTTCTGCAATGCCATTACTATAGCTATTACTATTAACTATAGTGTCACAAATGGGACTACAACAAGAAAGTGATGATTCTGAGCAATGAAGCACGTGTAAGTCATTATTTGGTAACATCATGAGAACTATGAAAATATTTATTTTTCGGTAAAGTTGCTATTGATGGTTATACCACCGAGGGCTTCCATCAGTCTCAAAGTCAGAATGTTAGTATCGACATTTTTTCCCTTTGTAATGTCCTAAACAAAAAAAGCATTTGTAGCTTAATGATCAGACATATGAGCCATCAGTCAATCCAGACACCATGCAGCCATTACATCAAAACTACCCCCTTCGGCATGAACCCTTTGAACCCTTTAAATTAGCCTGGACAAATTCCCTCCTTTCCCAAATGGATTTCCTATTGTAAACAACACAAACTCAGCATTTTTCAAATATCTTTTTCCATCCAGAAAACTGAGCTTGGTAAAGTATAATCACTGGAAAACACCCCTTAACATTTTCATGATTTCTTTTTATTATTTCAGACTTTATAGTACTTCAAATTGCTGTCGCTCCCCGTTATAGCTAAAAACAAATACGTTAGTCTTACAGAACAGTGACCAACTCTCCTGAAAAAAAGTGCACTGTGTGATAAAATCTCTGGTACTTTATTAACATTGTTAAGATGATCATGGATGCTTTTGTCTCCAAAAGCACCCTAAAATATTTTTCTACCATATATTTCAACTCATAGAAAAACATAGGACTCAAAACTAGTACATATTTGAAAGTATAGTTTGCATGTGGCTGTAACACTATGTTCTGAAATAGTGACAATATATGCTTTTATATTTTGAATTGGACAAAACTGCACCTAACTTCCATGCAAATGCAATTAATTTTTATTCAGTTTTGCCATCACTTTCTTAATCATTTCATTAGCAGAAGAATTAGCTCATTTATCCCACCAAGACCTGAGAGATCTCATTCAATTGCTGGTGTGATACTTTTCCAACTGAGCAGAATTCATGAAAGAATCACTGAAAAAGGAGAAGGTCCTTGTATTTCCAATACTGAACAGGAGTAGCCCTTTTAGTCAGTTTAGTCAAAGCAATGCTATTTAGGTGCTAGTTAGAAGTTTACTGCCAGAAATGAAATATGATGCCAAATATCTGTTATTGTTTGCAGTATTACTTCTGCTATATCTTTGTAGACAAGAAAACCCAAATTTTACATGTTCTTAGACAAAAGTTTTGCAGCAATGGGAACACAAAATGCCACTTTCGTATTTGCTAAATACCTAACTGAATTGACTGCCAGGTCTAGAAAACAAGATACAATCTGTTCTAAATGAAATGGCATGTATGAGAATAATGTTGATGTTATGGTCAAAGAAGCATTTCTTTTTATGGTAACAGTATATTCCAAACATTTCCCTTTTATTAAAAAAACACTTCCATAGTTTAATGCTCACAAGGCAGAAAATGTTCTGGAGATGTAGACTGCATCCAAACTGTCTTCTGACACACTCCATCCAAATAAAAATACAACAAACCATTGTGCGGAATTGTTTGAAGAGCAAATAAAAATTCTTCAGAGATTCTTCACTTTCTTTCACCAGTGTTCCACTTGACTGCTTGCAAGAAAACCCTGAACACATGCTAGGAGCTTCTGTCTGTAAATATCATTGGTATGTCAGAAGATTTCCCCATTCCTTGCCTAAGCTCCTTAAATTACATTCAGATTTCTGTGGTACCATAACAACTTCAATATGGCACATAATTCAGTATTTTGTAAAGGTTTCATTTCCATTTCCACCTCCAGTTATTGTTGGTTTACATTTTTCATCCTGACTGCTCTGTAGGATATACATCCTTACAATATTTATGTGAAGTCTTACAGCTTTAACATGGAATATTGTTAACTACTATATTAAAACCACACCAAGATACATGCTGAAGCGATATCCTGTATTATAGGATATGCAACAAATTTTACCATCTTGTATCAAAACATGTATCAAAGTAATGCAGTTCCTGATGGCAAAACAAAAAGAAGTCACGCAAAAAATGGTTGTTTGGGCTTTTATGAGATTCATAGGACCTTCCTTTCGATTTCATTCATGGGAATGCATACTCCTCAGCTGCAAAGCTTGATTTTTCAAGTTTAAATGAGGACTAAATCCAAAACAAATCTCAGTAGAACTGGGGGGTTTTGCCCACTATGAGTCAATACCATGTAAAATGCCAAAACACTTTTTGCCCCCCAGGTGGAAATGGCAGATGATCCTAGATTCACTTAGAGCCCAGCTCAAGCTGTCTAAAAGACCACAAGCCATTCTAAGTATTCCAGGTATGCACAAAAATCTGGATTCACTGTACACTGCAAAATCCTGTGCAAAGCATGAAAATTAAAACTGGTATGTACTTAAGATAATTCTTATTTTTTTATTCCCTAGAAGTCATTTGTGAAAGGTTATGCAGTACACTACATAGTTCAGATGCCTAAAATAAAGTGTTGAGATGTATTAATGTCAGAATTTATTTCTCTTCTAACTGTGGCAAATGATAGTTAAGTACTTTATTGTAGAATTCAGTAAGAAAGCTAGACTTGAAATCAACTGGGGATCAATTCTTAATTAAGTTGAGAACATTCAACTAAAGCAGTGTTTAGCTGGGGACATTAGGCATGGATAGAATACAGCCTTATTTTTCTTCACAGACCATTGTCCAAATTTTGCACACAATCTCACATGGTCACACTCATTAAAACAGAGCAGAATTTGCAAGATATCTACACAATGCAGGGCTATGTAGACAACGGTTTGGCAAACACAAGGACATTATCTATACACAGTATTTTCTTTGGATAGCTTTCATCCATTATATAAATCATTCTTAAAACACTGAGGACAAAGTATGGCAAATGCTTAATAGATTAAATACACTGTATTTACTGTGAGTACATGTCTATATTTTATATTTCTATTGGAATGTGCGCATGTATATTATATAGCATTTATATTAAAGTCTTAAAAAAATGGCAGTATTCTGTTTGTGCTAACAATTGGACTGAAGGTAAAATCAGCTGAATTTCTGTGAGACACTCCTACTTCTCTTGTTATGGAAAAGTTAAGCAGAATTTAACTGGTATCACCCATATCTTCTAATGAAACATTCTATAATCCACTCCTACTTTTCTACTTTCCTGTGAAATCAGTGTAGTTTATATCAAACATTGAACTTAATAAGGCTACTTAAATTACTTCAAAGGACAGTCTTCAGTAAAGTACAGGGAAAAATATGTAAATTTAAGGGCTTAAAGCTCTATGAATGAGCATTTTTCAAGCAGCATTTACAGATTCTTACCAGCTCTTGTGTATCTTCTGCTAATGGCAAAAACGTAGCTTCCAGAATAGCAACTTGATCAGTGCTGAGCTTCTGCCACAAACTAATCAGCATAATCACCAGATGGGTGGCACTTTTCAACTTTGTGAATGCCTGGAACACGTTGGCTTGATTTTCTTCTGCTGCATCTGCTAGAGCTATTACCTGCAAAAATTACAAACATCTGTTAAATATAATTTTACCATCCGTGAACACTCAACACTGAAATTACCTTTGGCACACTCTTGTTTTCCTTTAGAAGATCCTGAGGAATTCTGTTTTCCATAAACACAAACCACAGAGTATTAAATGAGTTATCACTTATCTAGATTTTTCTTTTGCATACCCAATGCAATTTCCGTATGGCAACAGGATTAATCTATCTAGTACAATCAGTGTAGAAAGGATTTTGTATAGAGCATATTTTTACGGCATTCCTGAAATTGATCCCCATCATATCACATAATACATGACAACAAACTAACTTTGAGGTTTATACCATACAAGACACTAATCTCCATATGACCAGCAAGCCTACTGTATTAATCAAAACCAACACATTGATTCTATGCAATTAAAAATAAAGTATATAATTATTTCCACAGGAACAGAACTGCCATCTGTTATTTTATTAACTCTCATGTCTCTCCATGTCTTCCACTAGTTGATTCAGCTTTTATGCCAAAATATAAACACTATGGATCATGTATATGAAGGTAATACCACTCTAAGTGCCAGACATTATGAAAGAATTTTCAAAATAAAATAACAGATTCACTTCTTCTAATATGGTAAGACAGTTTTGCTGAGTACTTCAAGATGGGGAAAGGCAGAAGAGCTATTATAAGATATTCTACTCAGTTCAGTAATAACTTGTCATTGTATATAATATGTCCACTCACAGCATTATAAAAATGGCTATTTTGAAAAATATTGCTATAAATGTCTTCTTTCTTGAAATGCAATGTTTAGACATTGTCCATCACTGAGTGAAAAGCGAAGATGACAGTGATTTCAATAGGCAACGGCTGTAATGTCAATATGACAAGAGATTTTCCACAGTATTTGCACTGAATTACTTCAAGTAAAGGAAAGGAACAAAGGTTAGGGGTTTATCCTGGGGGAGTACAACTTCAGAGACCTGTTCTCATGAATGCCACTACATCTTCATGTTGTCCAAATAATACTTGGCTTACAGAAGCACTGATCGTCATTTAAATCAACACAAAGCATCTCCCTCAACCACTTTCTGTTTATTTATCTGCAAGATGGAAAAATAGGTGCTTGACTGGAGTTGTAAAAGCCTCATAGAAATACTGTTAAAGTGTAATTAGTATTGCAACAGAATTTAGAAAGTAAAACTTGCAGAGCCTGATCCATTAACATTTGGCAACAGCAGGAAAATGAAAATACTATATGATGCATCTTCAGCAGGGAAAGAAAGCCAACCAGCTGTTAGCATTTGGTGGAGGAAAACTATTTTTAATCTGCAACGCTGGCATTAGAGATGTGTGTGTGTTCCCTCCAAGCTCCCATGTGACTAGGAAGATAAAACAGAATTTTAGAGAACTATAAATATGAAACATTTCAAACAAAATGTGTTGATAGCTTTTGTTTCAGATTTTAAAATGTAATGTTTCCAAATAAAACGGAGAACCCACAGTATACTCATGAGTCCAAACACTACATAAATCAGAGCCAAGTAACAAAACAAACAAAAAAAAAAGCCCAGCTAACCATGCAAAGGAGAACTGAGAAATTAATCCCAAGTAGTGAAAACCAACATGACATACTTTGGTTAGCGAAGAGTAACGATATCACTGACACGTCACCTGATGTATTTGTGTTGACATTCAATTTGCTCTGACCAAACCCTTGATGTTTTCCACACCTTGTGTTTTATACAAGGTTAAGCTCCATACTGCAGTCACTTTTCAACAGTTATGGGTCACAAAGCCACATGACAAACACAACACTACATAGTACCCTACATCAGCTGCACCTGACCCCTTTAGCCAGTAATTGCCTGCACTATACAGCTTCATCTTTCTGAGGAGACAAGCAACAGTAAAATCTTCCTCAGTCTAATAGGGGCTTTCAAATCTAATCACTTTTCCTGTCCAATATGCAATTGAAAATTTTGAGAAGATCAATGAATTTACCATGCTGCTGAGATGTGCTCATTCATTTTTATACTTCCTATAATATCATTACTGGATGGGATAGTACAATTCAGAATTCCCAGAATTTGGACTAAAGGCAAGCTACCTGTAGCCTATTATGGATAATGCTCAGAAAATATCAATTACGCTGAAGACACTGGCAAAAACAGTTGCACTTGTGTGACAACTACCTGATTCCCACTTAACAACAAGGCAAAGGCCACTTTCTATACTGAGTCATTCATAAATTCCTAGATGGTCTCTCACTCTGTGCTATATTTCAATTGACACTCTACTACATACTTCAGAAGCATAAATTGCATAAAGACAAGTAACTTGTATGGCCTTTTACCTTAAGGATCCTTCATATTAGAATATGGTTTCTTTCCATTTTATAACCATGAACAAAGGAGATCCTCAGCTTTTCATAGGCTATAGATGTAAAATAGATATTCCAGTAGTCCCAAAAAATACCTAATGTACAAGTCTAAAACCTATTTTGAAAGCAGTTTCATAAAAAACCCTAAAAAGTACAACTATTAATAAAGTTTGTCTTTGGCACAAAATTCTACAGTTCTCATGCACAATAATGCAAGGCATATATTATACCAGTGAGAGACCTAAGTTTCTAAAGGTGAGGTGCAGTCTTGGGGAGCATTGCAGGTCACTAAAATATATAGCAACTAAACCTTTAGATAACTGCATATGTACAAGTTCTACTTTACACTTGCAGAAAAAGCAAAGAGGGGAAAAAACATTTCTAAGTACTAATTATTCTGTTAACAGATGAAGAAGTGACCTGATATAGCTTTCTGAGATCTGAAATATCCAGGACAATACAATATGAATTCCCACACTATAATGCAGGCATGCACAATCATGGTAATTTTTAAAAAGCCTATTATCAGGGACAGAAAAAAGACTGTCAAAACAGCACCATTTGAAATATGCTGAGACCCGAAAGCCAAAGCTATACTGAAAGCAGCTGGAAGGACCAAACATACCTTGACAATACACAGTTACACAGTAAATATTTGATAGGAGGGGGGGAAAAAAAATACATCTTTCCTCACTGAGTAAAATGACTCTGAAAATCTCCCAGGATATCAGCTAAAAATTTTAGAAGTGTTTTAGGGCTCTTCATTCAAATACTTGCAGAATTTAAGGATGAGTAAGTTCTAAAAACATGACATTCGTATTTTTTATTATTTTATTTTCACCTGAACAATATCTCTAATTATATTTTACAATAGTTGAGGAACATAAAGAATCCATACCCTTCACAGTCTGAGATTCTAATCTTTTCAGATTCAGTCATGGTTTTTCCCAATATTATTTTCAATTCCACAGTAGTTGTTCAAGCTATTTAAGATCTATTTTATCATCTTTCTAAGCAGGTATAAAATTTTAAAAAAAAAAACCTCCCCCTGTCTCACTTTTAAACAGGATGGGTGGGAGGATACAATTGCAACTGGCAATCCGAAGTGTAGCTTACCGACAAAAATTTTAGACCAACTGGAAACTACCAAGTAAACACTCCATCTATATTTTATAAGACCTATCATTGCCTATTTGACATTTTTCTGCCTCCTTCTTGTAATATCACAAAGCTTTTAAACAAAGAAAAATAAAAATAAGTTTTTCAAACTTTCTTTCTAAAAGCAATGAAAGAAAGGAAAGTGTCTGATGCAGGAAAGACTTAGGAGATACTGAAATGGATTGGAAGTACAATGTTGAATATATATTTTTATAACTGATCAAAACTTGCTGTTAATTTATATTTTTTGTTAAATCTTTTCTGAACAAACTCATGCTCTGTTCCAACACACACACCTACAGCAAAGTAAAAGACAGTTATTAATGAAAACATATTGTAAAAAGAAAAAAAATAGAGAACTATTCTCTAAATGAAGATCACATTTAAGATTTTTACTAAATTTCATATTCACAGTTGCAAAAGTAGAGCTGAAATCCAGAAATTTTTTTATAATCTAGAAAACTTCCCACCTCAACGCTATTATAAGGATAATTTCCAAGAGCATTTCTCATTTTTATCCTAAAGTGTTCAAGCAGAAAGAAGTCTCGTCATGCTTATTTCATTGCTAAGTAGACTTTATAAGATGTCAAGCACTTAAAAACTGTAAACTAATGGTGATGCAAGTTTTAAAAGCAATCAAGATTTCTCCATTATTACCACTTATATAAAATATTTTAGGGCATTGTTCAACATCCAACAATAACTTCAAAATTGCTAATCCCTCTTGAAAAAGGCTTGCAACATAACCCACTCTTGTACATGCAGACAAGTTCCTTGGGGTAATAATGACCATCAGTCTCCCAGGCTTATTCTAATAATACAAAAAAAGACAAATACAATTCCAAAAATACAAAATGTCTTATTATTAGCTGGATAGGAAGTTGAAGAAAACTTTGAGAAAGTAAAGGGCAAGAAATGAGCAAGAAGTTCCAAGGAGCTTTCTTTTGAGTTGGTAGTGATTTCAGCTCCTAGCAACTATTTTTAGCAGAAATCAAGTTTGAAGAGAGCAGAAGTTTGGCATTTAAAGAATACAGAATCCCCTTCTATTTCATCCATAGCACTTATGAGTAAGTATTCTATGAAAAAATCGTTAAAATATGAAAAACAAGATAAAAAATTTAATTATTATGAAGTGGACACAGGGATGGTGAATTGTTAACAAGCTCACAGGTATCTTCTGGCAATCATTCTGATGGAATAATTTATTGCAAGGTAGTAAATTGATCCGATCCCTTACAACTATTTTTAAGCAGAATTAGATCTTCATAAAGCAAGATGTTAATGAATAAAATGGGAAAAATAGAAAACTGAGAGAGATGCTAATTACTGCTTGTTCGTTGTTATTGCCTCAGGACACTGACCACTGTTCTCACCCTTTCCCCCATTTTAGAGAAGAAATTACAACTCGATTGCCAAATCTGAAACAAGATCAGACGGAATTTTTTCGTGCTTTTTAAGAAGTCTCC